GGGGGGGACTGCCTACCAACACCCTTTTGGCGGCGCGTTCTATCTTCTCCCGGCGGGCTACGGGTAATTAAGAAGCCTGGGTTTCCTCCAAAAGGAGGTCAACAAGAATAGAAAAAAAAATTCCCCAAAAGTTGCTCATTCTGTATTATAAAATTTGTAACATGCAAGTATAGGAATGTGTTTGGTGCACGGTTCATTCAGGCCAGTGTGCTACGGGAACTGCCTATGTACCTTGTGCCCCAGAATCCTTTGCAACTCCCTGGGCTTCTACGACAGATATGCAGGAGTTCCTCAGCAGAAGGGTTGATGTGGAAAGAATTCCCTGAGGTTAGAAAACTTGAAAGCCACTGAATTTCTTTTTTGGCAGAAGGGAGCCTTCTGGAAGGGCTGTGGCTCAGTGGCAGAGCATCAGCTTGGCACGTAGAAAGTGCCCCAGGCTCAACCTCCAGTTAAAAGGATCGGTTAGTAGGTGATGCGAAAAACTTATGGCTCAGATGCTGGAGAGCAGCTGCCAGTCAGAAGAGACGATAACTTGAAAGAATGATGGTTTGGCTCAGACCAAGGCAGCTTCATGTGTTCGCTTGAGCCTCCGTATCCAGTTATTTTGTGTTTGGTATCTACGTTTTGATCCTGCCAACCTAGCCGTTCGAAAGCAAGACATTGCAAGTAGATAAATAGGTACCACTTCGGTGGGAAGGTAACAGCGTTCCGTGCGCCTTGGTGATTAGTCATGCCGGCCACATGACCACGGAAACGTCTTCGGACAGCGCTGGCTCTTCAGCTTTGAAACGGAGATGAGCACTGCAAAACCTAGAGTCGGACTCGACTGGCTTTCGAGCAAGGGAACTTTTACCTTTGTATACGTTTTGAAGCATAAAAATGTTATATTTGTAAAGTGTGTATATATAAATTTTGTTCCTACAGGCATTTGTGGCCAGTCAAGAATTGCTGATGTTGGAGGCGTTCCGTACCTTCTGCCTCTTGTACAAAAAGATAAGGTGAATGGTGACTAGATTGTAATTTAACCCTCTGAAGAGTCTCTCCTCCTATGTGCCATTATCCAGCCATCTTCTGTCTGGGGACTCAGTTTCCAGGCTCGTGATAAAAATATGTTGTGTACATACATTTAGTCGATAGCAAAGCAGAAGCTGCAGTAGCAGCTTGGTGCAGTGGTTAAGAGTGGCGGACTCTAATCTGGAGAACCGGGTTTGATTCCCCACTTCTCCACATGCAGCCAGCTGGGAGACCTTGGGTCAGTCAAAGTTCTCTGAGAGCTGTTCTCTCAGAGCTCTCGCAGTCCTGTATACCTCACAGGGTGTCTGTTGTGGGGAGGGGAAGGTAAGGTAAGCCGCTCTGAGACTCCGAGTGTAGGGTGGGGTATAAATCCAACTCCTCCTGGAAAATGACTAGAAAGTGCTTTTCTGATTCCTTTTTTCTCTGTAATATATTAAGTTTATTATGTTGCCTTTTGCAGTGTACCTGCTAATTAATGGCATACCTATTAAACATGGCAGGCCGGTGTAGCGTGCGCTGTCCAACCATGAGCTGGAGGAATTTCCTCCAGCCTGAGGAGGTTCCCTACAGCTAAAGTGGTTCTTCTGTTGGAGAAAGGGCAACTTATGTTGGGGGGTGGCTCCTTAGACTGGAAGAAGGCGTCAGACTTTGCTTACTGGAATGGTAGGATGCAGTCATAGCAGCCCAGACATGCTTTGTTCTTGTCAGAGCTTGGAAGCTAAGTGGGATCAGTACTTGGATGGAGAGACTGGGGCTGTTATGCAGACGAAGGCCAGAGCAAACCACCTCTGCTCATCTCTTGCCTTGAAAAACCTCATGAGGTGAAACGTCACAGGGTTGCCACGTGTCAGCTGTGACTTTGACAGCACACATTAACTTAGTATTGGTTTATGATGGTGGCATTTTCCTCTCTCTTCCATCATATGTGCCAGCGACACCCCTCTGATCAGCAGCTACGTGCCACACTGCCTCAGAGTGTCTAGAATGGTGTCCGCTGCTCTCAGATCTTCTCAGTAGTAACCCACCCTGAAGGAAACCACAGTCTGCCAGCAGAGGTCAGAAGGCTGAGGTGCCTTTGCCAGATTTTAGGAAGGCCTTTCAGGCCACATTCCTTAAGAGAAGCTTTGGGTAATTGGCAGCTGGTGTTTTACATCAGAAGCATAAACTGTGTTGATTTGGCTCAGCGTTATTTTTTTCTGTTGGTGATTTCATTTTGTGAGGTGCCTTGGGCCTGCTTTGATTCAGGGAAAAGCAGGTGACAAATGATGCACAGAATAAAATGGAAGTCAGGATGATCTGTCTCTTGGCCGGACCCAGACCTGCTTATCTTTCACATGTTGTATGCCCCGAGACTGTAACCCTAACTGGTAATTCTCAACAAAACATGATGTCGGTGATAACTGAATGCATCTTCCTTGTTTAGGTTTATGACCTGAATGATATAGCAAAAGAAATTCAGCTCCCTGGAGCTTTTTTTCTGGGAGCTGGAGCTGCTTCATCTAGGATCGTCGGAGGCAATGCTGAGGTAGGTAACTCTTTTAGTCTTCCTAATATCCATATGACATTGAGCTGGGGAGCCCATGCTCCTGAAACGTTAAAATGTTCAAGGTCCAAGTGCCATCAAGAGCAGCAGAGGGGGAGAATGGGCCACCTCTCCTGAGGACTCCACGTTGGTGCCGGAAGCAGGAAGGCCTGGTGTCTGATTTGGAGCCCTCAAAAGTAGATGAAAGCCCAGATGTGGCCTTCAAGTTGAACAAGTTGCTAGCGCCTGGATTATCTGGCAGAGATATTCCCTGTTGGCGGTATGGAGGCCAAGCAAAGGAGGAGTGCGGAGGGAACCAGTCCATAGAAGAGAAGCCCAAAGCTGTGGCTCAGTGGTAGAGTCTCTGCTTGGCATGCAGAAGGCCCCAGGTTCAATCCCTGGTATCTCCAGTTAAAAGATCTAGCATTAGGTGATGTGAAAGCCCGCTGCCTGAGACCCTGGAGAACCGCTGCCAGTCTGAGTAGACAGTACTGACTTTGAGGGACCAAGGGTCTGATTCAGTGTAAGGTAGCTTCATGCGTTCATGTATTCTGAGAGAAAGAGCAGGCTGCTGTCACTGCTAATGTACAGTGGTAGGCTCTAACAAGGCCCAACAATGCCTACCCTCTGAGGAAACCCTCATTGCAACCCTGTGATTAGCCAGCCTTGCAGGTACCTCAGTATTCCTAATTTTTCTCCCCTGTTAGATCCAATGTTGATGTTAATTAAAAAATATATATTTTTAAACTTTAGTAATTTGATATTAATTTTTGACAGGGTAAAAATCCCAGAGACACTTTTCTTTGACCAGTCCCTTTCTAATGTGCTCTCTGTACAACAAGGTCTAGCAAAATGCCTTCGGAAACTGGGGGTGAATGTTAGATCTTGTCACGCACGGGTTTATTTAAAAGACTTTATCACCTGAATAAAAAAATCTGCTAGTGATACCTTTACTACATATAATGATAGATCAAGATGAGCAGCCGTGTTTGTCTATCCGTAGTAATAGAAAAGAGCAAGAGTCCAGTAGCACCTTTAAAACTAACAAAATTTGAGGCAGGGTAGCAGCTTCTGTAAGTCACTGCTCACTTCTTTAGATATAAATAATGACAAATGCAAAAAAATTGGCTCTAATGACAATGAGTAAGGTTTTATTTCTATTTAGGAAGATTCGCTGTGAGAAGCTTTGAGGTAATGTGGGCATAATAGGCACAATCAGGGCTATTTTTCGGCAGGAACGCACAGGAACGGAATTCCGGCTGGCTTCCAGGTTGGCCACGCCCAGCAGGAACTCATTAGCATAATAGGCCACACCCAACAGCAGAAACTCATTAGGACTGGCTACATTAGGGGTGTGTGGCCTAACATGCAAAGGAGTTCCTGCTACAAAAAAGCCCTGGGTTTGGACAACAAACAAGGTAAACAGAATAACAAGCAAAAGGTGGGTGTGGCTGGATTTTTTCCTGCCCAAAAATGGCCCTGGTTATTGGGATGTGGGGTGTTTGCCTGTTTTGTTTTACTGCTCAGTGAAGCAGCTTGGAGGTTTATTCACACAAGTTCCTTTACTCTGTAGCTTATGCCCGTCGTTCAAGCCCAGAAGGAGAACAAACCAGCTACAAACGGAAGTTACATAGCCCGGTTTAAGCCCAAGGATGGTGGGTACCTGCTGGAGAAGTACAATACCAAATATCACGACTGTGAATTTGGCCTGTTGGCCAACCTGTATGCCAGTGAAGGCCTTCCGGGCAAGGTACGTGGACTCCTCCTTTGTGACTTCAGCAGCCTCTGGATGTTGTATCCTGGGAGCAAGGAGAGAACCTTTAGAGCTGACACTGAGGAGAGGGACTCTTCCATGGCCCTATCTGGGCTCTGAGATTCAGTCTTTGTTTCTTCATGGCTCTTGGTCGGGCGGTGGCTAAGTCTCCCTCTTGGTCTGCTGCATGGGAGTGCGGAACTGATGCACAATGTCACCTTGGAGCCCGCTTGATCCAGGCCACAGATAACACCCACCAAGGGAAGACCATCAACAATTCACAATTTATATATGATCAAAATTGTGTATTACATTCATTAAAGTACAAGGATGGGTTAGTGGTCATAACCCAATAGAATGCATGAACATATATCCAACAGATTGCTCATGACAATTAGGCATTACAAGAGGGGGACCCGCGATACTCGCGGGGGGGGAGAGAAGAGCCCCGTCTCCTCCATCCCCCCCATCTCCCCGAGGCGGCGGGGGCAGCGGGGGC